TTTAGATTCATACTAAGAAGAGTAAAATGTTCAAACACAAAAGGTTGAACACTCTGTTGTATGAAAAATATAATAATAGAATGAGACGGGGAATTATAAGAAGAAAAGAAGACTTGATTCAATATTGTGAATGACAAACTCTGATGATGAATGGATTGTTGAGAAAGAAGATTCAGTGTTTCAACAAGAATTTTTTTGGGGGTGAATGAAAATGAGCAAATATTTGATGTTGATATAATTAGAAATATGCCCATAACTAATGCAAATGAAGAATCACAAACTCTTACACATGAAAGAAAAGATGTTTTTATAACAATCCCATAGAAAAATGAAGCTGAATGAAAGAACAAGTTTCATATTTACTTTTAATTGTTATTTACATTATTAAATATTCTTATAAAAAAAGATCATAAATATTTACGAATGTCATTTTGTTTGTATTTATAGTTTAGGCAAGAATAATAAAGAGAAATAAATTATGAATGTACTTGAAATTGAACATAATAATGCTTCAATTTATTAGACAATGAATACAGACAATATGAAGGACCTAGTGTCATTTGGACATATATATTAGTGAAGAAGAAGAAGATTTTGAAGATGAAGTTCAAGAATAAATAACATTTAAGGTTTGGATCAATTAAATACAAGTTTATCTTTTGACTCAACCATGTTTACTATTAAGGAAATTACTTCGAAAGAGCCTCAATTTAATTTCATCGAGGAATAGGGTCACGAGATGCGAGGAAAAAGGAACAAAAATTTAATAAAGCACAATCAAAACAACCAGAAAAATACACATGAATTTTATGTGGAAAAACCCGAAAACAGGAAAAAACCACGGAGTAACACTACCACAAATTTTAATATATAATTTAGAAAGTTTTACAAAAAGACTCGCACAAGTTTCTTCTCCACACTCACACGAAGAAACTTACAAGACTTGCACCAACAATCTTTCTTTTCCAAACTGACGCAAAAAATAATGTCGAATCACCGGAATTCACCTCTTCGACACTCTTCACCTTCACCGAGATGCTCGTCGAAGAAATCAAAATAAAGAAATAGCAAGCGTTAAGAAACGTGCTCAAAATTGGCTTAAGAAAACATTTTTTGTGTAATAAACGCACCGGGCGTTTAGGTGCCTAAGCACCAAATGCTCTATAACGACGCCTAGAAATGGGTGCCTAGGCACCAATAGACCAACGCCTGGGCGTCAATCCTCGAGAATAAGAGCAGCGTCCTCTCTCATGGGGCACTTAAGCACCCATAGCTGGCGCCTAGACACCAACCTTAAAAACAGTTGAAATGCTTTGGCTCCACACACACTGTAACAATCTCCCACTTGTAGACAAAGCACCGAGCACCAGTCCTCTGTACCTGTACCTCCATCTGAATCGCCTTCTTAGACACATACCGCGGTGTGGCTCACCCCCCGGTCTCAACCTTCATGAAACTCAACTGAAGCCAAGCACAACTTCAGTTTCTCAACAATTACCATGTTCGTCAACATATTCGCAGGATTTTCAGCTATATGTATCTTTTCTAGAAATAATTGCACATTCTTTAGAAGAGATCAAATGAGATGATACCTCAGCCAGATGTGTTTCGTCTTGACATGTAAGCAGCATTCTTAACAACATGAATCACACTCATATTGTCACTGTAAAGCTTTCCAATATTATGCTCCTTGCACAATTCTGCCATAAAGTTCTGTAACTAAAACGTTTCCTTGCTACCTTCAGTGATAACAATATATTCGACCTCCGTAGTTTAAAGTTCAACAGAAGATATATCTGGAAGATATATGCAGAAGATCGTTGAACTCCAAAATATCGTTGAACTTTAAATCTACACTGAAAACCGCAGCCTGGAAACCCAACTCATTGTTGTGTTTCCCAATGTGAAGATATATCTTGTTGTAGTTCTCCTGCTATCCACAACTCCTGCCAGATCTGAATCTACGAATCATTGTAGATTGATCCCTGCACTTCCATAGAGTGATTGTTCTGTTCAAGTGCTCAACTACACCATTCTGTTGCAGTGTCCTTGTGACAATGAACTCATGCCTGACCCCCTCTGTAGCACATAAATTATTGAACTTTTAATCATGGTACTCACCCCCATTATGTGATCTGAGACGCTTCAGCTTAAGTCTACTCATTTTCTACTATAATCTTCCATTTCTTAAAGACTTCAAATAGATCGGATTTCTGTTTTAAGAAATAAGCTCATACTTTTCTCATGTGATCATTAATGAATGTAAGAAAATAACGAGAACTTCCAATGGACTAAACTGGAATAGGATCCCATACATCAATATGCAACAACTCCATTTTTTTTTATTTCGACATTGATCTGCGCTTGGAAAAAGAAATTTTTTCTGCTCGTCATATATACAATCTTTACAGAAATCCAGATCAACTGATTTCAAACCCTAAAGCTTATTCTTTGAAAGTAGGGACTTCATAACTTTCTCGCTCATATACTAAAAGTCTACGTTGTCACAGATTTGCATCCGACCTGGTTTCATCCATATCAATGAAATTAATCATTTCATTGATTAGATAGAGGGTACCTTCAATGTTGCCCCGAGCCATCACCAGTGTCTCCCTGGTCACCTTCCACGAATCACCTGTGAAAGTAGTCACGAGTTTTGACTTTGCCAACTGGCTCACAGAGATAACATTTCTATTCGAACTTAAAACATGTCTTATTTTAGTAAGCTTCCAGACTGTTTCATTCAGCAACTTGATATTAACTTCTCCTCTTCTTACTATACTGCAGACCTTGTTATCTCCCAAATAAACTTTTCCTATATCACTCTGACTGTAATTTTTAAATACTTTTTAATTGGGGCAAACATAAAAAGAGACACCTGAATCCATATTCAAGATTCAGTGCTGACTAGGGATAAAACCAGAGAGTCATTTTGGAATTCACTGTTGAGACATTAGTAGAAAAATAATTTTCTTTTCCTCCACCATCGGCTTTTCTTGGAGCTTTGCAGTCCTTCTTAAAATACATCATCTTACCGCAATTTCAGCATTCTTCTCTGCTTGACTTGTACTTTCCTTTTTTGGACTTGGATCTGTCTCTGCCTGTATTCCTGCCCAAATTCCTTCCTCTGTTATCAACATTCAACGCCAAACCTGAAGATTCACTATTCGCTGCTTTTCTACGAACTTCTTCATTTAGCATCAGACCAACGATATCATTGAAGTTCAACTTCAAAGTCCCTAAAGAATTACTCACTGTTGTTACCAAACCATCCCAGCTTTCTAGCAATGAAGATAGTATCACCAATGCTCAGAAATCATTATCAAACTTGATCCCCACACAACACAATTGGGTCGTCATAGTGTAAAAGTTATTGAGATGCTCTGCCACTGAACTGTCTTCCACCAAATAACTTCTTCATCAGAAAAACTTTATTGGAAGCAGATGATTTTTCATACATCTTAGCCAGTATCATCATGAGATCCACCGTAGTTTTCTCATTTATAATATTGAACGTAAAATAGAAAATAAAGTAACAATCGGATCAAACCCAGTGTCGTTCGACCCAACACTTTCCAGTCCTCCATAAGCATAGACTCAGGCTTCCTTGTAATTCCTTCTAATGACAAATATAATTTTTTTCTGATACAACATCCTCCACTTGCATTTTTCAAAAAGTGAAGTTCGTTCCATTGAACTTCTCCACTTTGAACCTTCCTTCTTCGACCATTGCTCCCACTTGAATCGAACATCGCTCTGATACCAGTTTGTTAAGAAATTGCTCCGAAAGAGTCTCCTTTTAATTTCAACGTTGAATAGGATCACAGGATTTGAGAAAATAGGAACCAAAATTTAAGAAAACACAATCAAAATAACTAGAAAAACACATAAGAATTTTATGTGAAAAAGCTCAAAAATAGGAAAAAATAACGGAGCCACAACAAAAATTTCACTATTTAATTCTGAAAGATTTACAAAATACACACAAGTTTTTTCTCCACACTCACACGAATAATTTACAGAACTTGCACCAACAATCTTTCCTCTACAATATGATGCAGAAAATCACTTCGAATCACTAAAATCCACCTCTTTGACACTCCTCACCTTTATCAGGGTGCTCGTCGAAGAAATCAAAATAAATAAAGAGCAAGCGTTAAGAAACCTGCTCAAAATTGGCATAGAAAACCAATATTTTGTGTATTAAACGCATCCGGCGCTTGAGAGCCCAAACTTGGGGTCTAAGCGCCAAGCACTCTGTATCAGCGCCCAGAAATGGGCGCCTATACGCCAATAGGAGCCGATCTATCGGAAAAAAGAGCAACGCCTGCTCTTAAGCGCCCATGGCTGGTGCCTATGCGCCAGCCTTAAAACTGTTTGGAATGCTTTGGCTCCACACACACCATAACAGTTAATTTTATATACTTCTAATTTTTTTGTGGTGGATTTATACCAATATCTTGAATACTCTAATCCTAGAAAACTTGTTTAGAAATTGAATGAGTATAAGTTCTTTTAATGTCTCTTAATATTTTTTTTATTAAACACTAGTTTTTTTTTTTCTCTTAATAATTATATGTTTTAATTTCTTTTATATTGTGGGGCTTACGCTTGACGCTTTAGGGTTAACGCCTCGTCTCGCAAAAGCTAAAACGCACTGTCCAACGCTCGCATCTTTTAAAACATTTAGTCTATATTAAAATAAACTAAGGACTAAATTGACACTTGTATAAGTAAGAATATTACATGCATGAGTCCGAATGTATTTGAACTTCATGTACAACAATGTTGTACATGTTGTATACAAATATGTACATGTACGACGTTTTTGTACACGCAATCCTGATACATCTGGACTTCTCACATAATATTCTTTCCTTCTATAGACTCTGGAACTAAAATGAACTGCTGCATCAAAAAGTTAGTGAGCTATTTTGACACTTTTCTCAAAACAATTATAAGATTCTCAATGTCATTTTTAGGCAGTATTGTTTTCTTACTTCAAGAGGGATGCCAACTTCCTCCCCAAGTTTTCGCATTTTTGCTAGGCCAGCCTGATAATTTGGGCCTCCTCTTCTCACATAAACATGCATTCTCGCAGCTTTCAGCTTGGCTTCCTGCCAAACCAATGCAGGGAACAAAACTCTTAGTACAAAAAAGGGAAAAAAAAACATAGGGAGATGATGTCAGGAACAAGTGAAAAACGAAAATAGCTCAGAAAATGGAACAAAATGGAAGTGTGGGTGGGGGGTGGAGGGTGGGGTGTGGTTCCATACCTTCTCTCTTAAAGCTCTAATAATTCCATTGAATGTAGCAGCAACATCTGTAAAGTTGGCTATTCCTCCTCCAATCAGAAGAGCCCTCTTGCGGCCATCAGGATTTGAAGTTGCGCACTGTTCGCATTGGCTTTTATCAGTGAAAAGATTGCAAGAACAATACGAAGCTGAAGCAGAAACATCAAATAAAGAAAGTGGCATTTACATACATACCAATCAGTTCTTATGTATATACATATTGCACACCTAAACTTTACATTTTAAATGTATGCCACGGAAATCTTTCATATCACATCAAACATACCACTATTTTAATTTTAAAAGGTAAAATATATCTTTTCATGCATAATTAAGGTGGCATATATGTATAGATTGAAGTTTAGGTGTTAGGTAAATACATAGGAAATAAGTGGGTATGCATTCGGCCGGCAGATGTCTGAGCGTAAAAATTTCCCAAGAAATTAAGGTTGCATTTCTCCACAATCAAATCACAGTGAAATTAGTATAATAACATTAAGTTGTAGTCATCGATTGGGTAAGATTGAATAAAATTCCTGTGTTTTGTGTTCATCTTTTATTCCTTTATACGTTTTTTTTTCTATAACGCATGAATCAATCAAGGAAATTGAAAGGCTATGAAGGGCATGACTACTAGAACCAACATCAATGACAACTCGAGCATATTGCAAAACTTCATCCTCCTTCGGAGCTCCACTGTATTCTGCATAATTTCCGAGCTCAGAAGCATAGCCCAAATCACCAACCTAGTAAGACCCAAACCATATAAGCGTACAGTTATTTAAAATATTCAAAATGAGGGACTATAATAGTTCAGATATTGTCACCGTGTCAGCATAAATGACACTAGCACCTCCTCCAGCTACCATTGTCCATATCCTCCCTCGAGGGTTCAAGACTGTGAATTTCAAAGATGCGCTCGTCTGGAAGAACAAGAAAGACAAGTTGAGTTTGCTTTAAAAATCGAATGATCATACTACAAAACTTCTATTACTCGGGTTATTTTAGTCTCATGATTTATAAAAATGTCAAATTAGTTCCCAAAGAGGACTAGTTTAGCTCCCTTTAAAAAAATCCGGAGAGTAAATTGACATTTTTATAAACTAGAACTAAGATGACCCTTTGCAAAATTTCAATGAACTATTTTGACACTGTTGAGATTTGTATCTAGTTCAGGGTTCTATTTATAAATAGGAAATATATAAGAAGTCTAGGATTTATTTGTAAGAATATTGTAAGGCTTTATATAAGCCCAAATTATTAATGAATAGAAGAAGTTTTTCAGAGCAACTATTTTTTTATGGTAACCCTAGCAGTCTGTGACGGTCGGGATCAGAGTACACTTACAGAGACCCGAAGCTCCCATCTGTCGTGTAGAATCACGACGAGTAGAGACTCGAAGCTCTCGGGATGGCATAGATCCAAGCGATACGACGTTGAAAGAGCCAGGATCATGGTGTGCAGATCCACGTCGCATCTCAAGATCTCAGGATCACAACGATGAATGTGATACAGTAGTGGAAAGGGCAAGGGATTGCAGCGTGCAGGTCTTGTCGCATCATAGAATAGTTGTTGTTGGATCTAGCAGGGGCGCAAGGCGAAATTGCGTGGGACGACATATCGCGATACAGTCGCGATTAGAGCCACTAAGAAGGCAGCGGAGGATCGTAGCTTCCTGAGACCCGTAACTCCCGTCCTTCTCCTGTTTCTGATCCTTCCTAACAGAATCACACGAGGTTGATAGGGAGGCTACGACGTGATCGTAGACAAGATAGGAAGGCCACAACGAGATCACATATGAGATCGCAGCGTACAAACATAAATGATCAAATTTGCGTTTGATTTGTATGCTCTAGACTTGAATTCATATGATTAAGGATGTTAGGAAATGACGAAATCATGGGAAATAAATGATTTGAGCATCTTGGGAAGATAAATCCTCAGATTTTGAAGGTCTTGATCGAGCTCATGCAGAGAGCTAACATTTTGATGGGAGCAGCCCTCTCAACACGTACTTTAATGTAGATGAAGTTAGATCTCCCTCCTATGGATGTAAAGCTTGACGGACCAACCACATCTGAGTTGGTCTCGTCGGATCGAGACTGCTCTTGCAGGGAAGAGACTAGGAATATTTGATGGGAGGCGAGCCAAATAGTGATAGTATTGAGAAAAATGAGTAGAGGACCACAAGCACCTTGTTTTGCACATGACTACTCAACTTGATGGTTCCATCGATTGTTTTATTGGTAGATGACATTCGAAAGATGATGGAGATCTGGGCATTTGAAAAGGACCTGTGCTAAGGCTGAGAACCAAATGAGGTGTTCCAGCGTGAGATAAAGATAGTGGTACAAGGTGATAGATCGATTCAGAAGTACTCCATAGATCTGAAGCGAGTGTGGGCAGATCTTGATCACTTCTCACTGATGTCGAGTTATGGTGATCTGGAGTATAAGAATGGGGAGATCTTTGCACAAATAAAAATTATACAGTTTCTGGCTCATCTGAACCCAGCTTTTGATCAGAGGAGATCAGTTCTTCTCGCCCAAACGACGATCCCTTCACTTGATGATGCTATCACTGCAATGATACAGAAGGAGAGTCGCATGAGGCTATACTGAGCCAAGTGGACTTTCAAGTGTGCGATCAGCTTTGGTTGCATCGAGCTCAGGTATGACAAGGTCCAGGAGAAGACTCGCAAATGTTACAACGGTGGTGAAGTAAGCCATTTGAGCAAAGCCTGTCATAATTCACCTAAAGAGAGAAACAGGTGAACGTGGACAGTTTGGAGGATATGGTTGTGGTCGTGGTGATTGAAGATGTGGAAGAGGGGCTACGAGGCAAATCTGATTGAGACAGAGGATGAGGGAGAGACAAGTGTGGTATTTACCAATGAGGATCATAAGGTTTTGGAGATGCTGAAGAGGAAGCAGAAGCGACAAGTGATGGGGTTGAGAATGCTTCCCACCTAATCGTCATCAAGGGATAACATTGCTAATTATTCTCACACTGACAAATGTGCTCGTGATATACATGCTCTTACCTCTATTTCTACCACATGATCATCAGAATGGATGTTAAATTTTGATACATCTCGACATATGACAGATACTACTACAGACTTCTCTTCTTTCCTCATCTAGTAGTTCCAAAGTGCATTTTGATTGTTGATGATACAACTAGCCTATAGGTGGTAAGGATATAGTGAAGTGTATGATTTCTATGATTTGTCTAAAATTTTGCATGCTCATTCCTTTTTAGTGAACATTTTATCCATTATTGTCATTATTCTCTAACTAAAATGTGTTGTTTCATTTAATATTCCTAAAATAATCTTTCAAGAGAAAAGGACGGGTCGATGCTTGGGATTGAAACGTGACATAGTAGACTTCAATACTTTGATACAGAAGAGATGGATTAGATTTGACATCCATGGTAGAGAGTGCTGGAGCAAGAGAAAATGTGAGAAGTGTAGAGGATGTGTTATTGCTACATGACAGATGTATAAGACACTCTTATTTTAATTTATCAAGTCGGTTGTATTTGTTGTTGTATGAAAAACAAAAAGATAAACTTGTCTGTGATGCTAATGAGTTTGTTAGTAGAAGCACTTATATTAGTTCTGGAAATATAAGTTTTTGTTGGTTTGATTTAATATATTTAATATTTGGGGATCTTGTTCTACTAGTTCAATGAATAATTATCGATATTTGTGACTTCTATTGTTTTTTTCTAGTATTACTTGGTTGTATCTGATGAAATGTAAGGTTGGTGTGTTTTCTTGTTTTAAAAATTTCCACAAAGCAATCCGGACTCAATATGGTGCAATAGTGAAGGTATTGAGATCTGATAATGAGACAAAATATATTGACAATGTATCTGGGGAATACTTATTCACCCAAGAGATATAACATCAAACCACATGTTCATACGCACTGACACAAAACGGAGCAGCAGAGAGGAATAATAGACACCCTCTAGAGGTAACCCAAAACATGATGATCACGATAAATGGTTCCAAAATGCTTGTAGGGGCAAGAAATTTTAATAGCTGCTCGATTGATCAACAGAATACCCTCGAGAGTGTTGGATTGAAAGTTTTATTATTGAAACTTGAAAAGAAATAATAGCAGGATACTCTTATTGAAAGTATTTAGTTATGTAAGTTTTGTAAAGGACAACAAACCATCAGTAAGAAAGTTGAATCCAAGAGTTGTAAAATATGTTTTTGTGAGTTATTCTACTACCTCGAAAGATTGTATTTGTTTGAGCCTAATAGAAAACATATTGTTTGTGAGCAGGAA